AAGTGGTCCATGTTTTGCATGTAGCTGTCCTGTATAACCAACACAGTTTACTGAAGAGACTTTTCTCATTATGTATTTTTACCTCCATTTTTAACTGACCATTTAAGTGTGGGTTTAATTCTGGGCTCTCTGTATTTTGTTCCATTGATGTAAAGATCTGTTTTTGTGCCAATACCATATTGTTTTGATTACTATACTTTGTAGTATACCTAGAAATCTGGGAGCCTAATACTTCCATAATACTTGTATTGCTCTGGCTGTTTGGGGTCCTTTGTCGTTACACACAAATTTGGGAATGATTTGTTTTAGTTCTGTGAAAAATGTGATTGGTAGGTTTTTTTCAGGGTTCTAATCTTTATTCTTTCTTGGTAAAGGGGATGATGTGGTATAAACATCAAATTATAAAGTTTTTCAGTCAAAGGGACGGAATTATAGCAATAGGTAATGTAGCTTATAACCTTGTAGCTTTGTATGCTGTAAGTACTTTGATAGAGATTGCATTGAATCTCTAGGTTGCTTTTTGTAGTGTTGACTTATAACTATTCTTCCAGTCCATAAGGGTAGTTTCTTTCCATTTACTTATTTAGTTTTCAGTTTCTTTCATCTATATTTTGTGGTTTTGAGCATTTAGTCCTTTGACTTTGGTGGTTCAGTTGATTCCTAGGTATTTTGTTCTTTTTGGTGCAGTTGTAAGTAGTGATTTCATAATTTCTCTTTCTTGTAATTCATTATTAGTGTATAAAAATGCAACGGACTTGAATATTGCTTTCGTATCCTTCACCTCAACTGAATTCACTTATTCTGTTACATTTGTAGTGAAGGCTTTATAGTTTTCTGTATATATAGTATCAAGTCATCTGCAGATGTGACAGTTTTACTACTTCCTTTCCAATTTGGATATATTTTACTTTTCTTCCCTAATTGCTAACACTGGAACTTTGAGTATAATGCTGAAGAAAAGTGGCAAGGATGGGCATCCTCGTCTTGTTCCTATTCTTAGAGGAAAAGCTTTCAGCTTTACACTGTGGAGTCTGATAGGTGTGGGTGTGTCATATAGGCTGTTTTTATGTTTAGGTGTGTTCTATCTCTACAGACTTTGTTTAGAATTTTTATGAGTGGATGTTGAATTTTGTCAAATAAGGTTTCTGCATTTGTTGAGATTATCATGATTTTTATCTTTCATTTTGTTAATGTGACATGTCAAATGGATTACTTTGTGGATATTGAACTAACCTTGCATCCCCAGAGTAAATCCCACTTGATCATGACACATGACCCTTTTATTGTGTTGTTGAAGTCCCCTGTCTGGTCTTGGCCTGTGTGCGACCTCCTGGATATGGCTTCCTTCAGCCTGGTCCTCCCTCCCTTCATGACTTGCTATCTCAGTGCCCTATTTAGTGACTTACTGTAACTGGTTACAACGAGCGTCTGTCTTGTTTACTTAGCTGTTTGCTTACTTATCATTGGTGGTCTCTCCATGCTGAAGACTGGTCTTGCTTGCATGATTCTATCCCCAGGGCCTAGCACAGCAGTGAGCATAGTGCAAGTAATGAACATTGTTTTGAGTATTGTGATACAATGAGTTACATGAAATATATACTTGGGCATTCAGTGACCCAAATATATATTTCCCAGGTATATTTGATCCTCGTCCACACTTCCTGAAATCACTGCATAGCCTTAAAGGTCGAATGGGTGTCTTCTCATGTTAATGAGAGATTTGGACCCGACCCAGTGGAGGGGGCTGGAGGTTGAATCAGCCAATGGCCAGTGATACAGACAATGAAGCCCTCAGCAAAACCCATGAGAAGGGCACATTTCTCTCCCTTGGATCCAGCTTCTCTGTCTGAGAGCTTCCACACTATGGAACCAAAGAATACCGTGCCTCACAGAACCAGTCCCCAAGTTCCAAGCTCCACAAGGATAGAAGCTCCTTTATTTGGGAGCTTGCCCTATGTACCTCTTTATTTGTCTGTTAACTTGTATCCTTTATAGTACCCTTTATTAAAGTGGCAAATGTGTTAGAAATTCTGTGAGCTGCTCTAGCAAACTAATTGAATCTAAGCGGGAGTTCATTGGGCCCTCAAATCTGTAGCTGGTTCTTCAGCAGCACAGGGAACTGCCTGGGGCCTGGGACAGGCTTCTGGAGTTAGGGGTGGTGGAGAGTCTTGTGGGATGGAGCCCTTAACCTGGGGAATGTAGTGCTGTCTCTGGGCAGATAGCATCAAAATTGTTGAGTTCTCAGACACGCTGCTGGTGTTTAAGAATTGCTTGGTGTGTGTGAGGTGACCTGCTCTCCCTCTCCCTCTCCCTCTCCCTCTCCCTCTCCCTCTCCTCCCTCTCTCTCTCTCTCTCTCTCTCTCTCTCTCTCTCTCTCTCACACACACACACACACACACACACACACACGTGCACGCGTGCCTTGTTGGAATCATGCCTGCAAACTCAAATGGAGTTTGTACTATGATGTGTATGAGAAAACGGATTTGGTTTTAGGGTAGGTACTGGGATTTGTTAGAATGGCCCAGGCTCTCAGAAATATGTGGGTCTTGAAGAGAAAGAATGAAAGGCAGGGGATGAGTAGCCTTTGATGCCTGGATGGCTGTGCACACACCCTTCACAGGAAGGCGCAGCTGCACTGCTATCAGTCACTAAAGGTACAAGTTACCAGTGGAATTTAGAAATGGCAGTGGCCCCAGCTCCTGTGGATTTGGCTTCTTGGGTAGGTAAGGAAATGCAGACTGGTAAGAAGCAGGCTAACTATTCCATTCTATGGTTGTTTTTAGCTGGAACAGCCAAAAAGAAAATGAAAGGAAATGGTGGGTCAGGGCTTGATGCTGAACCAGGCTGAGATTTGGTTCAATCTGAGCTTCAGCCATTAGCCTCAAAGCTGCCCAGAAAGGGAAAATTATGTCAGAGCAACAGCAAGTACCTCTAAGACCTCTAGTCACCAAGGAGATAGCAAATGTAGGGGCGGAGAAAACCAGGAAATGTGTGGAAGGAGGGGATACAGTGTAAAGGAACCGGTCATTGTGTAGATCGGCATCACCAGCTTCCTGAAGAATCTTTAGTAAAGTGCACTGGGAGAGCCACCAGTTTGGGGCTGTGTCTGGTGGTGAATGCTTTGGAGTGGAAGGGCATGTTGGGGCTGTTGCAGGACCCTCCACTCACTCTTGGACAATCCCAGAGGGCTGTTACGTAATGAAGACACACAGGAGGTTCTTCCCGAGGGGACAGGCAACCTGGTGGACTGGATAAGAGCCCCTGTGAGGTGTGGTTATCCTGAGAAGGGGGCTGCTCAACTGCCCCTGTAAATGCTAGATGGAACACCCCAGAAGAAACAGCTGATAGGCTTCATATGCAGGCCACGTGGGACTGGCTTTAGGATGACTGAGATACTCCCCCACTGAATATTCCTGTTACGTTATGTTGAATGCTGTGGTGAAGGGGCCCCTGTTATGTGGGCACCCCATGTAACGTTACTGCTATAATGTCAAACAACAGTTTGAGGAGCCTTATGAGATTTGTTTTCTCAGCTTCCCTTTGCGTCTTATAATACCAAAAACATTACCATAGTTAAGAAAATAGGGAGGGACAAAAGAGAGAGGCAGGGGATTCGACCCAGTTGAGTGGAAGTTTTCAGATGGTTATGGAAAAATTGGGTGAATCCAGCAGACACCGATGGGGTGGCAACAAAGTTGTTAATGTGTAGCACTTCCAGAAAGTGGGTGAGCCAGTGGGAACCCCTGTTCCACCAACATTACATCAGCCCCAAAACTCTGCTCTGTGTACCCCAGTTTGGAGGAATTTGAAAAGCCTGAAGGCCAATATTACAGTGAGAAGCCTGACCAGGGATCGCTGGCGTGGTGGTCAGGCAGGTTAACAAGTTAAAGATTAATAAATGGGCCAGGATCCTCTGGCTGCACCCCCAGCCTGGGACCTGAGGCCTTTTGCATGTGTATGGGTAAAACAGCCAGGGGGAGGAGGGAATCTTCCCTGGCACTTCTTGATGCAGAGATCCCATGCACTGATTCCAAAACCTATTGGTGAATTCTATGGGGTCTAAGCTTAGATTGGGAGGATATGGAAATGCAATGGTTGATGGGATTGAGATGAAGTTTGGATGAATATTGGGTATTTGAGCAGATGTTTTGTGAGGTGGTTGTATCCCCTGTACCTGAATGTATTATTTGGGGGTGGATATTATATCTGACTGGGGATTGCTTCCCCTGTCTAGTACAGTAAAACGGAAGGCATGTAAGCCCACCCTCTTGCCAGTTTTAATTGGGCATGCTAAATGGGAACCACTAGAACTGCCCAAGCCACACAGGTGGTTAACTTGAAGCAGTAAAGAATACCTGGTGGACAAAAAGATCACCACTTTGAGTGACATGCTGGAATTTGGGTGCTGGTGCCCAGGAATTCACTATACAGTGCTCCTGGGTGGCCTGTGAAAAAGGTGGATGGCTCATGCAGACTACAGTAGACTATCGAGGTTTAAATAAAGTTATAATGCACAATAGCCTCTGGAGTTCCAGACGTGGTCTCGGCCATACAGAAAGTACAGCAAACTGAAGGAGGCTGGTACTCAGTGATGGACCTTGCAGATGTTTTCTTCTCCATGTTGATCTCTGAAGAGTCAACCACAGTTTGCCGTCACGTGGGAAGGATCCGTTTACTTCTGCCATGCTGCCACAGGGTTATCTGAACTCCCCAGCTATTGCCACCTCTTGGTTAGGAGGCATTTGGACTTGGTGTAGGGCTTGAGTGGAATAATACCCTATGTGATGACATCATGATAATGTCAGAAAGAGAGGAGCAGGCTAGGACTGAATAGAATGCAGTAGTGACATATACATGGCCAAATGGGGCTGGTTAATAAATCCAGCAAGGATCCAAGGTCTTGCTCAAACAGTGAAATTCTAGGAATAACGTGGGCAGGAGTCACCTGGAATATTCCACAAGTGTGACTAAGAATAAACTGTCTTCCCCACCCCTAGGTCCAAACAAGAAGCCCAGCATGTGGTTGGTTGACTTGCATTTTGGAGGACTCATATTCCACTCCTGGGACTATTGCTAGCTCCCATCTATGGGACTGCATGGAAGAAAGCCGTATGTGAGTGGCTCCTGAACAAAAGCAGGCCATTTCCGTATTAGAAATGGCAGTTACGCTCTTGACTCCTTTGGGCCCTTATGACCTCCACTCAGACATGACTTTGGAAGTGTCTGACCCCCACAGCCCTGCACACTGGAGCTTGTGGCTAAAGCCCAAGAGTGTGCCTCCCAGCTGTGACTGGATTTTGGATCAGAAAATCCCCAATTGCTGCTGCCTGGTATACACCATTTGAAAGACAATTATTAGCATGGTCTTGGGCCTTAATTGAGGCTGTCTCCGTGACAGAGGACATGAAATATTTTTGAAGCCTGAGATAACCCATAATGTCATGGGTGATGTCAGAGAAACATGCTGATAGGGAAGGCAGCACCCCGAAGAGTTCTGTAACCAAACTGAAATTGTTTGTGCAGGAGCAGGCTGCCCGGGGAATGCTAGGAGGCCCACACGATACCCGTGAGCAGGTCGCGTTTCCTCTCAGACAGACACTGGAGCCCCCCTGATGAGGTGCCGGAACCCACTGCTGCATGGGCTGTGCCGTAGGAACAGCTCTCGGCTGAACGACAAAGAGCTGCTTGGTTTGCGGATGGTAGTTCCAGGCGGAATGGACAATACCCTGTTTGGAAAGCGGCTGCCTTAAGACCGCAGGTGGCAAGACTCTGGTTGGGAGGAAGGAGGAGCAAATCAGCTCAGTCGGCTGAAATGCAAGCTGTTTTCCTTGCAGTGATGGAAGAATTGAACAGTGATGAAAGCCCATAATGTTGGGATTTCTATGGATTCATGGGCTGTAGCCAGTGGCCTGGCTGTATGGTCAGGTAGATGAGCAATGGAAAACGACTATGAAAGGAATGCCCTTGTGAGCTGCAGCTGTATGGAAATCACTCTGGGAATTTAAGGCGCTCACTAAAGTAGGAGATGTAGATTCCCATCAGAAGATGCCCCTTCCAGGAGTGGAAGGTGACTGGATCCACCAGATGGACCTGTCAGGTGCTGTCCTTAGAGGTGGCTGCCTGGGCCCGTGAAATGAGTGGACATGGGGGAGCTGCAGCAGTGCAGACACGGGATGAACCTACACAGACTCCTCTTGCACCCTGTGAGGCACAGAATGCCAACAAGAACTATTCTGACTGTCTACTGAGGAAACTTGTGTGTGGGGAAGATTCCCCAGGGGGCATGCCCTGCTTGTAGCTGGCCAGTGGATTACTTTGGAGCAATGCTAGTAGCTCCTGGAGGCTATACGTGGGTCCTGAGCAGAAGAGACACCCAGTGGTAGATGCAAATGCGCAAGATACCATTAAAGGATTGGAACAGAAGATTCTGCACCAATTTGAACCACCAAGTTACATCTCAGACCAAGGGACACACTTTACAGCCCATGATGTCCCATGGTGGGCGAAAAGACATACCATAAGATGGATGTACCATTTAGCATGCCATCTGCAGAGCAGTGCTTTAATAGGAAATTGGAATGGGCAGTTTAAACATTGGCTGTCTAAAATGGGGAAAGATAAAGGCATGAGGGAGTTGGCTTACACACCTTCAGAAGTGTGTGCTGCTCACACTGAACATGAGGGGTGCTAAGACAGGGTAGATTCCTCTGCTTTTCCGGGGGTCCTGGGGAAGCTGTGGTGGGGGAGGATGTTAGTGCCACCATACAGTTCTTCCCCACGTCACTGCCACTTCCTTTTTTCCTACCTGATTCAGTGGTTCCAGGTCCAGGGCTTCCTCTCTGGGGGCCAGAAGCAGGGAATATTTATAAAAGCAAGAAAGTGTAACCACACCCTAAATATTTATGCCACAATTCTTAAGGGCCTGATGGGGTGGACTGTGCCCTCACCCCATGTGTCCAGGTCAGGGCTGACAGCAGAGCCGTGCTGCCTAGTGGCCAGGACAGCCAGCTGGATCTGCACCTGGCTAACCCTACCTTCCGTGAGTGTGAGTGGATTAAGGGGAGGCACTTGTGAGACTGGTATTGTGCCAGCCATCTGGACCAGCACAGTAGCCATGCTTATGTCCCCTTCACAGGTGGAAAAGTCGGGATAAAGATACATGACAAATGGAGAGAGGGATAAACTGTAGCTTAGGATAAAAGGGATAGATAAGTGGCTTATGCACCGAGAGAAATCCACATTTTATTATTACCTTGAGAGAGGCTCGGACCAAGAGAATAACATACCTCCCAGGCACAGTTCTTAGCCAAAGCATACCAGCTGTCCAAGAGAGCGAAACTATGTGTTAGACAAGACCATCTCTGCTTTTGCAACCGGGCAAGGTCGCATGGCAGCCTGTAAACTGGAGTTTTATCACTGGGAGAAACAAGGGTGATAGATCTGTTGACAAACTGAACCAATATGAACCAATATACAAGTGTTTGTAATGACTTTATAGGTCAAATGAGTTATCACTGTAAATCTGTGCCCAGCACACACTGGCCTCTCCAAATGCCAGGCCTATTTGCATGGTACTATTGTTCTGTTGTATAAATGCTACATGAGATGTACGGGTGTGACGGCATGATCGTTTTGCTGTTAAGGAATCCATGTTTGCAGACCAGGGAGTGGACTGCAATAAAATGCCCTCCCTATTACTTTTCTTTCTTCCTCCTTTACTACCTTCTTCCCTGAATTCTTGCTTCCCTGGACTCGTCCTCACCAATACAACAGCACAGTAGCTGTTTAGCTCCATCCTGCACCTGAGCTAAGATGCAGGAGGGGAGGCAGAAGAAGCTGGTAGGGGCCTGGTGCAGGGTGCAGTGGCCCCTCATCTGAGGCACGAAGGTGGGTCACATTGAAGAGGAACAGCAGGGGCAAGGCCAGAGCCCAGAGGAGTCCAGTGTGACTCCTGCAAAGGGTGATCGGGCAGTGACCAGCTTTGCCTGTGCCCACGGCGGCCAGGTTACCTCTGGGCTTCATCACGTGACCTCTCTGACAAGAGGTTTGTAGAGGCTTTAAAAGAAATAAAGAAGATGCTCTTGTAGTTTTCTTGGTGTTTTATAAAATACCTCTGGTAAACCCTAGAGCTTATTAACAAAACAAATTCACTTCTCCCTCTTCCTGAATTGGGTGATGACTTGGTCCACCCCCACTGCTGTGTAGTTACAGCTTGTCTTAGGGCTCTCCCTGATGCTTGGAGGGAGAGATGAACTTTATCTAGGCTGCTCACCCTCTCCTCGGCTGCTGGAAGGCCTCTTGTGACTGCCCTTGCAGCCACAGCTGGGCTGGGCTGGGGCTGCTGATTACAGGGACAGGGATGCCTGTCCCCCACCCTGGCCAGGACCCAGGCACAGTTCTCTTAACTTCACCTGTCGGGACTGCACAGCCCTGAGGTTACCTCAGCTTCCAGCTCCACCGACCAGCTTGAGGTTTCCAGATGCTGTTGTGTTTTTTTTTTTGTCTTCTACTTTTCTGCCAGAAACAGCTCCACTTAAAACGGGGGTGTGTGAAAATATAGGGTTTTATACTTCCAGATAGAGCAAAGGATCTTTGATATGTAATGACCGTGTGTGTGTGTGTTGTGAGAAAGAGAGAGAGAGAGAGCGTGGGAGCTCTTTAATGGTCTGCCTCTCCAAGCCCTCATTAAAAGGGTATCAAGAATTCATTGCCAAGACTAACATCAAGAAGGTTTCCTCCTATTATTTTCGTCTTGGAGTTTCATGGTTTCATGTCTTAACATTTAGACTTTAATCCACTGGAGTATATTTTTGTGTATGGTTTGAGATGGAGCTCCAATGTCATTCTTTCACATGTGGTTATCCATTTTTCACAATACAGTTTGTTGAAGAGACTCTCCTTTTCCTTTTGTTGTCCTTGGCTCCTTAATCAGATGATCATATATGTTTATTTCTGTGCTCACTCTTTTATTGTGGTGTGTGTCTGTCATGCCAGTACCATGCTGATTTAATTACTGTAGCTTTGTAGTCTAGTTAGAAATCAGGAAGTGTGATGCCTCCTACCATGTTCTCTCTTGATTGTTTAGCTATTCTGGGTCTTTTGTGGTTCCATATGAATCTTAGGATTTTTTTTTCTAGTTTTGTTAAAAAAAAACACCATTGGGATATTTATGGGGATAGAGGTGTGCCAAGGAGGAGAGACACCTCTGTCTACCACCACCACCATTGTGGCCAGTACCAGCTTCTGAGTATCAGCTCCTGAGACTATCAACAGTGCTGATGCTGCTGTGCGTGTCTGTTTATACTTGTCCCTGGATGTCCACTCATGGATCAGCAGACTGAAACTGAACTGACCCATTTGCCTGCCAGGTGTCCCAACTGGTGGCAGCTGCCCTTCTACAGACACATTCAGAGTAGAACTCAGGAGCTGCCTGTGGCTCCAGGCCCAGCACAGTTTCTTCTCCCTCAACCCTGTCCTGGCCTCTCCTTTCAACTGCCCTGTTACCAGGGCACTGAATCTCTCCCCTCGTGTCCCTCTCGCACGTCTGAAGCATTTCACTTGATGTCAGGGGGCACAGCTTGCAGCAGCTGGGTGCACAGGGGCAGTGCACTTATTTGCTATGAGAATCAAGACAGTCGCCCCATTCCTTAAGGACTTGCTATGAACACTGTAAATGTCACAGGGACCTGTTCATTGGCTCCTACAGATGTGGAACTTGAGGTGCAGAGGGAATGAGCCCAATGACCTTTGTGGAACGGTGAGGGTTGGGTGGTGCTATAGGAAGATGGACCAGTGGCCCCGCTGTTCCTGCCACCCCCATTCACTCTGTCCCCCAGTAGCCCCTTCTACAGCCATCTGTGTGCCTTAACTTCTGTGCTCCTCACCAGGCCCCTGCTCTGTCAGCCCAGGTGTGCAGTGGGCCTACCTGTGGCCCAGCAGAGAGGATTCTGGACTCCCTGACAGGGCTCTGGGGTAGAGCCTATGAGCAGAGTCTGTGGCCCAGGACTTCACAGGGCCTATCTGGGTACCAACCCCAGCCTCCTCATCCAGGTTGTGGCATCTCAACATGGAGCCACCTGAGGACATGGTGCCTGGACAGATATGGAAGAGGCCACCCAAACCTCCTCAGGTCTCTGCCTGATATGCTTTTGCAGGATAAGCCTCCAGAGGAGGAGCCCACAGAGCCTGTCACCCCTTAGGAGGTGCTCACGGAGCCTGTCACCACTAAGGTGCAGTCCACGGAGCCTCTCATCCCCTCAGGAGGAGCCCACAGAGCCTCTCACCCCTTCAGGAGGAGCCAACAGAGTCTGTCACCACTCAGGTGCAGCCGACTGAGCCTGTCATGCCCTCAGGAGGAGCCCACGGAGCTTGTCATCCTTCAGGAGGAGCCCACGGAGCATGTCATCCACTCAGGAGGAGCCCACGGAGCCTATCATCCCCTCAGAAGGCACCCATGGAGCCTGTCATCCCCTCATTAGGAGCCCACGGAGCCTAGCATCCCTCAGAAGGAGCCAACGGAGCCTGTCACCACACAGGTGCCGCTCCCCGAGCCTGTCATCCCCTCAGGAGGAGCCCACGGAGCCTGTCATCCTCTCAGGAGGAGCCCTTGGAGCCTGTCATTCCCTCAGGAGGTGCCCACGGAGCCTGCCATCCCTCAGGAGGTGCCTATGGAGCCTGTCATCCCTCAGGAGGAGCCAACGGAGCCTGTCACCACTCAGGTGCAGCTATCTGAGCCTGTCATCCTCTCAGGAGGAGCCCATGGAGCCTGTGATAACTCAGAAGGAGCCCACAGAGCCTGTGGTAACTCAGGAGGAGCCCACGGAGCCTGTGGTGACTCACGAGGAGCCCATGGAGCCTGTGGTCCCTCACGAGGAGCCCACGGAGCCAACAGTGCCTAAGGCTGCCCCAACACCTGTCAGCCCTTACCTGATACCGTGCCTTGTCCCAGCGCTCTTTGTGTTACTGTTGCTAATCTTATGCATCTGGTGCTGCAAGCAGGTGAGGGAGCCCTACCCACACAGCCCTGTGCCCAATTCTCCAGTACCCTCTCAGGTACCCTGGCACCTGCCTGCCCTAGGACCCTGCTCTAAGGTCATCACCTGACCAAATGCTTAGGTACAGATGCTGCCCCCCCATCCCTGGGCCCACACAGCTGGATGCTGAGGGGCTCTGCACCTCAGGCTTGCCTCAAGGAAGTGGCCTATGAGATGCCATGGCCACTGGGGAGAAGTGACCCAGGCTCTGAGACGGGGCTGCCTCACAGGAGCCAGTGCTCTGCGGGACTCAGGTGGACAAAGTCTGGGGAGAGACCTCTACTGTGGAGGGGAAAAGGGATTCCGAAGGGGCAAAAATGGCCACAAAGGGAGAAGCAGGTGCCCCAGGATTCCTGTCCTCTGGGGCAGCTGTGCCTGTCAAACCTGATGTGGCCTCTGTCCATTCCTAGAGACTTGTCATTCCTTCCCAGTCAGTACTCTGGGCCAGGTTGTGCAGGGACCTGTGTTGTGCATGGGACAGAAATAGAACAGCTGCATTCCTGCCACAGCAGCTCCAGGTCATGTCTGGCCTGCTGTTGGTCCCTGGGGTGCCTAAACAGAGCAACAGCAAAGGCCAGAGGCTGGCCCGGGGCGGGGTGGGTGCAGAGGTGCTGGCCAGCCGGCCCCGGAAGGAAGTGTGTGGGGCTCTGGGAGAGGGAGGACCTGGAAGAGGTGGGAGAGGGTGGCTCCAACAAGAAGCCAGCAGGTCCCAGGCGGGTGAAGGGGGCCGCGAGGGCAGCAAGTCAGGCTGTGGGGTGGCCTTCCCCGAGGGCGGGGCACTGGGGATGGGGGCTCATGAGCTGGGGAGAGCAGGAAGGGAAGGGGGAGTGACTCCTGGGTTCATACGACATGAGGGCTGTCGATGAACACCCTGAGTGGGACGTCTCTACCGGGAGCAGCCGCCCGAGCCTGGCTGTGAGGGATGCCCAGCCCAGGTGAGCACAGAGCCCATGGACCAGCGAAGCAGGCATGGCTCACCTGCCGTGGGACCCCAACCAGGGCCCATTGCTGGGGCACAGCATCCCGAGGCAGGGAACGAGTATCTGGGATTAGTGGGAGACAGGCCTCCCTGCCCAGGGCTATACCCTGCATGGGTGCAGTGTAGCCTGGGGAGACCAATTCGCCAGTGTCAAGTGAACACAGCCCTGTGCCTGCAAATGCTCACATCCCTGACAGCCCTGCTTCAAGTTACAGAGCCCCAGGACCAGGTTTCTCTAAGGAGTGCTGCCTTAGGGAATAAAAGAGACATGGTAGAGTTTCTTGCCCTTTTGGGGAAGAGCCATATTGCAGACTAAAAGGAGTTTGCTGGTTTTTTCCCCTGGAGGACTCTCCCCTAAGATACAGGGCACTACTCCTTTGTCCTTGAGTTCTCCCAGCAAACATTTGCTGAGTGGCCAGTACATGACTGGTGCAGGGCAACAGATACCGTATCGCTGCCCCAGGAGCTGCCCTGCCAGGTAGGAGACACTGTTTTCTCCTCCTAGGACCCACAGTTGGGTGACCGGATATGCCCCACGGTGATTGTGTCTGGGTACCTAGACAGGGTAAGAGCTATAGAGGTGAGAAGGGCCCTAGGGAGAAGCTGAGATGCTGGGCGGGGCTGAGGGAGGACGGGGGCAGCCCAGAAGGCACAGCCTGGGCAGAAGCCTTTGCAGAAGTCCCTTCAGCAGACTGAGGGCCAGAGCCGGCTGCAGGGCCCTTGAGGCCCACTGAGAGGAGGGTTGACGGGGTGTGTGGAGGGGTCTAAAAGAATCCCGCTCCCAAGGAAGAGCTAGGGCCACACCCAGTGGGTCTAGCAAAGAGCCAGATGGGACTCTCTCCCCTCCTTTGGAGGCAGCAACCAAGCTGCAGGCTTCCTGACAGCCACATCTGCTTTTCAGGGCCAACAGGACACATTGGGTGACTTCGCCCACAGCTGCACGCAGGGCCCACTGATGTGCTGTTAGTGCAGGAACATGGTAAGCCGGGCATAGGGATGCTCCCCCTGCACTAGGGGCCTTTGCTTTTTGCCCCTGTGCATTTCACTCAGGGACTGATGGTCAGAGAGTCCTGTCCAGGCATCTGCCAAGGAAGACGCCCAAGACATGGAGGCATGGTGCTCATGAGCTCCCCAGCTGGCCCTGGGCATGGCACCCATGCAGTCCCTTGCACTGTGGACTCATGGATGTCAAGAAAATTCCTTATCTAGAGCATTACCCAACTCTTCAAAACTGAGCTAAAAAGGGCTACAGGGAGGTAGGCCAGCCAGGCTCTGGTCTCCCAGGTATCATCCCTCTCCTCTGAGCCCCCCACCCTGGGGCTGTGCTGGGTCCCCCCACCCCACCCGCTGAGACTCAGGACTCAGGAGTGGATGGGAGCATGGCCAAGCCCCCTCAGTACTGCCTGGATGACAATGACTGGTTTTTCCAGGTAGTAAATATTCTCATATCATTGCCTGTGCAATGGGGGGAATCCCAAATATACAATTGTCGCCTGGGAATTCAGTTAACAGTGACAATTTTTACTGAGTTCTCCCTCATGGGACAGATGCTAGCCTCAGAAATGTACATATTTCCCAGTTTTAATTCTCCAAGTAACTGCACATGTAGGTACTAATACCATCCCCGGTTTACCAAGACAGCCCTGACACACAGACAGGACAAACGCCTTGCCCTAGGTCACAAGGCCTGGAGGTGGCAGAGCTGACTGGAACCTCGAGGCCTGGCTCCTCCCTTCTCACTGCCCTGCCTGCCTTTCGGGGCAGCATTCATCACTTACAGTGGCTTTACCCCCAAATTGACAGAGGACTGCCCTACTCAGACCCTGGGGCCAAGGACAGCAGTGGTCCTGGCTCACCCGGGAGGCATGTCTGAGATTCCTCATGTGTAGACTCCTTTCACTGAGCACGCCAGGGGACCCAGAGGCCATTACTCTCCCAACATCTATCTGAGGGCTACATGGCCACATTCAGGGAACCCCAACTCTCAGCAGCTGGGCAGGTGGGCATTTAGAGGCTGTGAGCATTATCATTCTCTTTCTATACCAAGAGGTCCTTGGAAGTGGCTGCCTCCACAGCCTGTCACCCATCTGCAGGTGCCCCACTCCCCTGGCACTAGCGGCCTGCAGCAGCTCATCCCTGCAGCACAGTCATGGACAGGCCCTGCACAGGGTTTGGGCTGCAGTCGCAGTCTTATCTTGTCTTCCCTGCCCTCAAATGGCAGCAAGGGAAGTCATAACAAGATCTGAGGAAAGGGAGTCCAGAGCCAGGACAAGGGGCTGCCTAGGAAAGGTAGGGCGGATTTTGATGCCTGGACAGAGTCTCAAAGGAGGAGCCCAGGCTGGAGACCAGCATCCAGGGACAGGAGGGCATCCATAAAGGCCCACCCTGCCGGTCCTGCTGGGTCCTGAACTTGACTCCTTTGAACCAAGGAAACCAAAGCCTTCTCCAAATTCCAGTGGCATCTTAGTGAACTTCTCTGTCTACTCTTCTGTGAGTATAGGCACATTTGCCTTGATTGTTTGTTTATAGTTTATGATTCGTAGTTAAGACAGAAACAGTAGCCAAGACAGAAAGAATTTGTTCACCATGAGGATTTATTTGTTATCTTTCAGAAAGTTGCAAACTGTTGAGAGTTGGACTTGATTAATGATTGTGCATGGAGACCCCAATACAGAATGTGATTGTTGTTAACCATTTCATCAATAAGTATGAGAGCTGCCTTCTCGGCACCACTCTTGCGCTGTCACGCCTTGAGTCCCCTGGCTGGTCCTTAGGTCTTCGACGACCAATCGCGTCTCTTCCCTCATCTGCGGATCAGAGACAGGGAAGGGGCCCGACAAGTGGCACCCGAACGGGGACCTGATAGACGGTCAGAACTTAGGGCAAAGAACCTCTGCTTGGGGGCACTTGCAATTCACAAGTGGGGAATGCACTGAAGATCGTCGATTTGGTAAGATTCCTGGGAAAGTGCGCGCAGGGAACAGGATCAAGCCGTCAGGGACACTATAACGGGCCAAACTGAAACTAAAGCAGCTAAACCGGAGGATTATTTAAAATTACTCCGTGCCCTCCTAAAAACATCAGGAGTGAAAACTTCTAAAAAGGATTCTGCTCAACTCTATAAATATATTTAAAAATATTGTTATTGGTTGCCACCACAAGGGACACTTAAACAGGATGATTGGGAGAATGTATTAAGAGATTTTTAAAAAGCCGACAGATAGGGAAACGTCATCCCTGTGCCTGTTTGGTCTTTATGTAATTTGATCACTCTCGCCTTGCAGCCTTTGCAAACCCCCACTGTCTGAAACCAAGTCAGACACACAAGAGTGGGAGAGAGAACTTTTAGATGATGTGGAAAAATCAAGCAAGCGGTCTTCATCCCCACATCCACCTGACTCCTCTTTGTCCTACTCTTCCTCTTCTTCAGAGACTGATGATGAGAGTTCTGTTTGTTCCTCTCATCGTAAAAAATCTCTTCTCTGTTCCTGCTACGTCTCCTTTCGCAGGCAGGAATACGTAAAGCCCAGAGGGAGGGTGATATAGATGCTTACCTGACACCCTTAGTAGCACCAGTCAATTTAACTCCTTTTGGTCCAGGTGAGGATCCTGACTTTCCACAAACACTTTATACACCTATTCCTTACAAGACATTAAAAGATTAAACAGGCTATTTCTTCATATGGTACTAATTTTCCATATGTTGTGGGTCTCTTGAGGGGGTTGGCAGAACAGCAAAGAATGATTCCTCAAGATTGGGATTTATTGGCTCGTACTTGTTTAGACTCCTCTGAGTTTTTACAATTTAAAACGTGGTGGTGTGAGGAAGCCAAAGCACAAGCTTTAAGAAATCAGTGTGACAATCCTCCAATTCTTATAACTGCTGAACAACTAGCAGGACGAGACTGGCTGCCGATAGAAAGACAAGCTGGGTATGATGACACGTAGTAGTTGGACACAAAGAATTTTCCACAAGCCCGTGGAATTCCCCTGTATTTGTTGTAAAAAAGAAATCGGGAAATTGGAGACTTTTACAAGACTTCAGACAAATTAATGCAGTTCTTAAACCTATGGGACCTTTACAACAAGGCCTCCCTTCGGCTATGGTTCCAAAAGACTGGAACATGGCTGTAATTGATCTTAAAGATTGTTTTTTTACAATTACTTTAGCTATAATAGACAGGGAAAAGTTTGCTTTTACCGTCCCTTCTTTAAATTTGCAGGCACCTTCAGAAAGACTCCAATGGAAAGTACTTCCTCAAGGAATGTTAAACAGCCCTACAATTTGTCAAAATTATGTGCACAGAGCTCTTCAGCCTATATGTGAAAAACGGCCTTCAGTTTATATCATTCATTATATGGATGATATTCTCATAGCCCTACCTAAACATCTATCTCTTACCAATATTCTCAATGAGACTGAAACTGAATTAAAACAATGGGGATTACAAATAGCGCCAGATAAAATACAAATACAATACCCAATGAATTATTTGGGAAAGAAAATTCAATAATCCCTCAGAAAATTCAGATTAGGAGAGATCATCTTAAATCTTTAAATGATTTTCAAAAGCTCTTAGGAGATATTAATTGGATCTGATCATTATTAGGAATTCCAACTTATAAATTACAACATCTTTTAATACTTTAAAAGGACCCTCAGATCTTAATAGTCCTAGAGACTTAACCTCAAAAGCTGAGGAAGAACTCAAGTGGATAGAACACATTCAAAAAGCTCAATTATCAAGAATTGATTTACACAAACCCTTACTTTTAATAATTTACTTTACTCCTCATTCTCCCACAGGATTGCTCTGTCAATGTGATGGTTGGTGAGAATGGGTATTTCTGCAGTATCAAACTAAACCCTCGTTACAACCTTACATTGACAAAGTAGCCTCCATTATCCTGAAAGGATGACAGAGACTAAGACAGATGATTGGTCAAGACCCTCACTCCATTATTCTTCCCTTATCTAAACAAAATATTATGCAGGTATTTCAAGAAAATACTCATTGGCAAATAGCATTTTCAGATTATTTAGGAAATATTGACTGTCATTACCCTAAGAATAAATTATTTTCCTTTTTTCAGCACCATCAATGGATCCTTCCTCAAAAAACTTCTCCTAATCCATTAATAAATACTGTTATCTGTTTTACAGATGGTACAAAATCTTTTAAAGCAGCCTATACAACTTGTTCTGGTTTGTCAATAACTTTTCAAATGTCTTTTACCTCTACACAACAAAATGAGTTATATGCTGTATTGCAAGCTCTGCAAGATTTTCCAAGTCTTCTCAGTATTGTTACTGACTGCTTAGGTTGCTTTTTCTGTTCCTCTATTAGAAGCTGCAACATTGGGCACCGTATACAGTCTCCTATTAACAATATTTTCTCAATTACAGGTGTGTATCCGTCAACGTCTATATCCCTTTTTCATCACTTATATACGATCACATTCTCATTTACCAGGTCCTTTATCATACTGTAACGATAAAGTAGACAAGCTTGTTTCTTTAATTACGCACCAGCTTAACGATATCACGACCTGACTCATGCTCCTTCCTTCACCTTACAGAAGCGTTTTTCTCTCACTGCATCTGGAGCTCACAATATCTTGAATTCTTGCCCAACCTGTTCTCAAATTAATTCTCCTCATTTGCAAGCAGGAACTGTTCCCAGGGGAATGCACTCTAATGCCCTGTGGCAAATGGATGTTACTATTGTTCCTGAATTTGGAACTCTTAAACATGTTCATGTTTCTGTTGATACTTATTCTTCATGGGCGACAGCTTTACCAGGAGAATGATCTCATCATGTTATTACTCATCTTTTACAAGCATTTGCAGTTCTAGGCGTTCCTGCCACCATAAAAACTGACAACGCTCCAGTTTACCTTTTATCTACGCTAAAGAAATTTTTTCAGCTGTATAATATTACTCATAAAACAGGCATTCCTTACAATTCTACAGGTCAAGCTCTAATTGAACATCGTCATCTTACTCTTAAGCATTATTTGTTAAAACAAAAAGGGGGATTACTCCCTGATATGATAAAATTAACTGCAAATCAACGCTTAAAGCATGCTTTACATGTTCTTAATTTTGATCTCTTAAATGGTGATAGACGATCAGCTATGGAAATACATTTTTCTGACAATATTTCTTTTCCTGAAACAACAGCAGTTCCTGTGTGGTGGTCTCCAATAGGTTCTTCACAGTGGTATAAAGGTTATATCAAAGTGTGGGGCAAAGGGTTTGTTTGTGTCATTACAGAGGATCAATGTTTGATTTGGCTGCCCAGAAAAAGCATTAAGATACGATATGAAGAAGAATTCCCAACATCAACATCCTCTGGAAGAGCTGCTCCAGAGGATGGCCACCAACAAACTTCACCACTGGAATGAAGCTTCCTAGATAGTGAAGTTTGTATTTCTATTTTTGGTGATAGCATTCATACATGTACACACTGCACAAGCTTGCACTATTACAGCTAGTGTGAGCAGTCCTCCATATTTAGGCTGAGTAGTAGTCCTTCGGTGTGTATCCACCTGTTCTACTCCTGTAGGTCCTATGGTATGGAAAAAAGATGCCAAAAAGATATATAGACAAAAGTATGGAGGAAAACTTGGATGGAATAATGCAACTGATGAGTCTAAAAGAGATAATACTCGCTATGACATTTATAAAACAGTTTTGACCAGAAATGATATTGGCAATTATTATTGTGAGAAATATTAAAAAGGAGCTCCTGATATATTATATAAAAGTAGTTATGTCTACTTAGACATATCACTCGCTCCAGAGAGGGAATTTTCTTCACCTAACATGTGGTTACAACTTGCAAGTCGAGGATTGAACAAGTCATCTTTTGTGTAGCAGGAGATTCCTCTTATTAGTGGATTATTAAAGAAAAATTTGATAGGTATAGGACTCCCTTTTTCTGTTTTCACTAATATTTCAGGAATAAACATTACTCACTCTCCTGAAGTTCTTACTCATGAAATTCAATTGAACTTACCTGTCAGTACTACTATGGTTTCTGAGTGTATATGTATTAATTGCACTCATATTCCTTCCCACTGTAATTCTACTATTCGTGTAAAATGTCCTTTTGGATAGACTTCCAAATGGCTGGGTGTTTTTATGCAATAAAAAAACATATCAAGCCTTTTCTTCACATTATCAAGGTGTTTGTGGTGTGGGACGTATTCTCCCTGCTCTTTAGACCATCCTGGATATCAACACAGACAGGTTTCTCGAGCCCTGCCACCTGATTGTGACGACAATTTGAAGTTGTTGGATCCTGTTGCCGTAGCTGTCTGCTGCATTCATCTTACCAGTTCCAGGACTCGTAGGAATGCAGAACGAAATATCCAAGATGGCCTATGCATACAGTAAAACAACAATTCTGACTGCTTCTATATTATCTGAACTCAACCAAGAACTGGGAGAAGTATGAGTTGCAGTACTTCAAGATCGCGCTACTATAGACTATCTATTGTTAAAAGAGCATATGGGATGTGAACAGTTTCCAGGCATGTGTTGTTTTAATCTGACTTTTCTCAAACTATTCACAATCAAATAGATAATATTCATCATATTATTGATAAGTTTTCTCAAATGCCTGAGTTACCTAACTGGTTTTCTTGGTTTCACTGGATATGGCCAGTAATTGTAGGCCTGCTTCTTTTGTGTATTTGCCTTCCTATCTTTATAGCCTGAATGCATCATATAGTCATCAGTTTATTGAAACCATTGCATGCTTATGTTACTTTCCTGGAAGTGATGTCTAAGAAATGATTGTTCTTTGTATTGTTACTCATGAAAGTCCATGCACTAAATCTTTGTATTTTGTGATTTCTACGATTAAGGCTGGACATAAAAGTGAGAGTATGAAAACAAACATCAACTAACATCACTCAACTCCTAATGCCTCCTTTTTCTGTATGTTCTCCCCCTGTGTGGCCCCAGAGATGGCTGGTTAGCCAGAGACGGGTAAGATTCCTCATGGGAGGAACAACCTAAGACAGGCACAGTCATAAAGGGTCAACAGGTGAGGCGGTGGGGGCCAACTGAGGCGAGGCTTAGAACCTTGTCCCCCCATTTATATGAGGCATTCTTTGCTGCTCTCGTCCAGCTAGGTTAATACTTAAAAAATTAAAAACGGATCTTTCGCTTGAGTTACAACAATCATTATTTCAAAGTTCTTTAATAAAAAGGGGAAATGTGGGGATTTATATATAAAGTACAAAAATCATATGTATAAGCACATTTGCCTTGATGGTTTGTTTATAGTTCATGATTTGTAGTCAAGACAGAAACAGTAGCCAAGACAGAAACAGTTTCTGTGACACGAGTGCTCTTGTATTGTTCATCATGAGAACTTGTTCCTTATGTTCAGAAGGTTGGAAACTGTTGAGAGTTGGACTTCATTAATGATTGTGCATGGAAACCCCAATACAGAATCTTATTGTTGTTAACCATTTCATCAATAAATATGAGAGATGCCTTCTCGGCACCACTCTTGCGCTGTCACGCCTTGAGTCCCCTGGCTGGTTCTTAAGATCTTCGATGACCAATCGTGTCTCTTCCCTCATCTGTGGGTCAGAGACAGGGAAGGGACCCGACAATGAGCTAATTTTTCTCTCTGCATAAACTGGAGTTGGGTTTCTAACACTTGCAACTGAAAGCATTTTAAAATTAACATATCTGCCAACTGGTTGAATTCTCCTCTAGTGAATATTAGGGAAGTGCAGAAGAGTCTCTGCACAACAACTCAAACTTTTAATGCAAAACATAGCTTATTAATCATCTGTCAAATACATGCAATGTATTTTATTTAATGGAATAAAGCATCAAGAACTTAAAAGCATATTCCTCAAGTATATTCTTTAAGCGAACACAGGTATTTACTTATAGCTTATTAATCATCTGTCAAATACATGCAATGTATTTTATTTAATGGAATAAAGCATCAAGAACTTAAAAGCACATTCCTCAAGTATATTCTTTAAGCAAACACAGGTATTTACTCAAAAACATATAATTTTTACTGGCCAGCTTTATAGTTTTGAGTGTGTAGTTTGGATTTTGAGCTTTCCTTCTCTCCAGACATTGCTGGTATCTCACCTGAAGTGTCAGCTGTCATTAAGCTAATAAACCTGAACACTACAGGGGGTTAATTTACACTTGTTCTTTCATTTCAGACTGTTTGCTCACTCATTTAATTATTAGTCAAATATCTGAGCAAAGTTCTTTATTAGATATGTTAGCATTGTCACCAGCCATGAGAATCACTAGTCCTGTCCGTTCAGATTATCAAGTAAATACTTCATTCAATAAAAGCTTTGTCTGTTACTCTTCTTACCACCCTAAAACCAGAACTATACTTTTACTTCTCAACTCCTCCCCTCCCAGCCATGAAGGGCCTAAAGGCTCAGCTCCAGGAACACTGTGTGTATCTTCCTTGCATAGGACTTAGTCTGGTAACCATCACTTAGAATGCTCATGTTTATCTGCATAATATAATTTTTACTGGCCAGCTTTATAGTTTTGAGTGTGTAGTTTGGATTTTGAGCTTTCCTTCTCTCCAGACATTGCTGGTATCTCACCTGAAGTGTCAGCTGTCATTAAGCTAATAAACCTGAACACTACAGGGGGTTAATTTACACTTGTTCTTTCATTTCAGACTGTTTGCTCACTCATTTAATTATTAGTCAAATATCTGAGCAAAGTTCTTTATTAGATATGTTAGCATTGTCACCAGCCATGAGAATCACTAGTCCTGTCCGTTCAGATTATCAAGTAAATACTTCATTCAATAAAAGCTTTGTCTGTTACTCTTCTTACCACCCTAAAACCAGAACTATACTTTTACTTCTCAACTCCTCCCCTCCCAGCCATGAAGGGCCTAAAGGCTCAGCTCCAGGAACACTGTGTGTATCTTCCTTGCATAGGACTTAGTCTGGTAACCATCACTTAGAATGCTCATGTTTATCTGCATCTTTATATTCTCAAGCTCTGCATTGCATACCCAGAATTTCTTTTTGAAGTGTACCTTTTGTTAAGTAGTTCCAGCTATGCTTGGCACTGCAAGCAGAGAATCTAGCACAGGAGAAATGCCTTTTAAATTGTTTCTCATATAGTTTCTGCATGTAGAGATTATAAATGCTATGCTAAGTTCACAAAAACGTATAAAAATAAAACTATGAGTATAATACAAATCAGATGAAACAACACACTTAGCTACATCTAATAATTTTATGGGGTCTTTATGGTTCATATTGGGTTTTTCAATGTTCACAAAATAAATAAATAAAAGTCCTGAAGTTTGAGAACTAATGTATAATCAATGTCTTTCTATATTCTTTTCAAAGTATTCTATTTTCAAAGTATTTCTATACTCTGCTATGAGTAAAGAATGCATAAAGCCAAGCTATTATCTGGATTAGAATTAATTTTTGGGCAGGCAGATAGCTTTTTATTTTCATATATTTTTTTGGATTTTTCTCACCTCTGAAGTCAGCCTCATTAAGATTTATGAGCTTTGTAAATTCTTATAAAGGTTTTTATTGAGCTACAGAGGTGCCCTATGGAACATTCAATCCCAGGTTTGGGGAAGATGATAGACAAGTAACTTGTCACTTCTGTCTAGCCTGGCAATGAGAGGATTTATCTATCAATGAATACACTCATCTTTTTTTTTATACATCAGCTATTTTTTAGTTTACCTAACTGTGGATGACAAACAAGTACATCAGAAAGATGAAGCATCTGATTTAACAGTTCCATTAAATCCCCCTTTTTGACTCATGGGAGATTCAGACAAAGCCTGAGGGAAGACTTTTATGCAGTCATACTCTTCCTAATTAACCATCTAAGTAATTCACTGCTTAAAATCCTTCCAATGGCTTCCAATAATCTATAGAATAAAATTCAAATCCCTTAGCCTAACAAATTATTGAGGACAACCACCCTCCCTACCATTCACATCGCATTATAGCTCCCCTTGCAACCAACTGGTAAACTTTAGAAGCTAAATACTCTTTCACCTAATTCACCTGCGCCCAACACAGATAGCCAATGTTCCAAGCTGTTTCCCCTCTCTGTACTTTGCTGCTGCTTCACACTGTCTTTTCCCTCCTATCAGCCTGAACAAGTAACACACACTTTTAAGAGTGAGGCCATCTGGACAAACTAGAGAGGATAAATTCCCAGAAACATTCTTTAAATATCTAAAGAAGAATTAATAGCAATCCTCCTCAAAGTCTTCCAAGAAAAGGTGAAGAGAACACTCCCAAACTCATTTTACAAAGCCAACATTATCCTTATACAAAAGTCAGAGACAGCCAGGACAAGAAGAGAAAATTACAGGATTAAAACCCCAATGAATATAGAAGCAAAAATACTGAATAAAATACTAGCAAACCAAATTCAACAGCACCAAATACTACATACACCATGATCAAGTGGGGATTTATCTCTAGGATGCAAGAATAAATCATACAGAAATCAATAAATGTGATTCATCACAATAATAGAATGAAAGATGAAAATCATGATCTCAATAGATGCAAAAAGTTTTCAGCAGATTTCAACATCCTTTCATGATGAAAACCCTCAATAAATTGATAATAGAAGGAATGTACTTCAACATAACAAAAGCCATATATGACAAGCCCACAGCTAACATCATAATCAATAGTAAAAGCTGAGAGCTTTTCCGCTAAGATCAGGAACATTACAAATGTGCCTGCTCTCACCATTCTATACAACAGGTACTGGAAGTCCTAGCAGAGCAATCAGGCAAGAAAAAGACATAGAAGACATCCAAATCAGAAAGAAGTAAAATTGTCTGTTTGCAGATAACATGATTTTATATGTAGGAAACCCATAAGATTTCACCCAAAAACTGTTAGAACTAACCAATGGATTCACTAGTTGCAGGATATAAAATCAACATACAAAAATAAGTTGTGTTTGTATAGATTAACTGAACTACAGAATACAAATAAAACAATCATTCATAATAACATCAAAAACAATATAATACTTAGGAATAAATTTTGTTGGTTTGCAAACTGATCCATGTACACAGAGGTAAAGGAGAGACCAAGGTAAAGAGCTGAGCAGTCCAGACTGGTAGGTGACAGTTTTAGTAAGTGAGGGAACTCAGTTACATCTGGTATTTGTTTTGGGCAGTCACAAGACAAGCAGATCTCCACACCCACCTACCAAAATCTTAAAGAGTATATGAAGGTCTTAACTGGATTTAGTCATGTGTACCATCCAGACGGTCTCCTCACCACCTTACTCCCTCAAGGCTGCATCCTTGGAACAGTTCCTAGTGTGGAACTGGCGGGTGGAACACGCATTCCAAGGACAAGGGATGGGATGAGGTGTCCAGTTAGCCAGCTTCCAGATCAACCGATAGCCATGTGCTCTTGATGAACTCCTCCAACATCCCCATGACTGCTCTTAAAATCTCACATGCCCCCCTCATCTGCAGTGTGCCCTGAGTGGTCAGCAAGGGGTTTCCTTATCTGGCTGCTCTGGAGGCAGATGCTACAGCAACAGTATAGCCATATGCAGGGAAAAACACAGGTTAAGACAATGATTCCCAAAATAAGTAATATTTTTTCCACTAAGAGTCACATGATCTGAACCATTGATTTATTAAGTCCCCCAGGTTGCGAGGCAAACACTCAGTGAATTTATTTGTGTCCTAAATGATTTAATAAAGACTGTGCATTAGCACACTCATCATGTATGCACACACAACATTCTGTTTGGATAATGGCACAGGTGTCTACTTGCAAGGCAGTAATAATGTCCAAGGCCATCCATTTTGAAGGACAGCTGTCCTCATCAGAGACATTTCAGTGTTCAGTAAAGACAGTCTTTGCTGACTATCATTTAGGGCTTACTGGGTGAATTTAGTAAGGGCTTCTCTGTGCGCTATAATTTCCTCCAGGCCATTGGAATAAACAAACAGCCAAATGTTCGTACTAGCAGAAAACAAAATGCACCTAGTGGGCCTTAAGGAGAGAGAGGTTGGCAGCTTTAGGAACTTGACCTGGTTTTACATACCATACATGCAAGCCAGGGAAGGCAGCACTGTGAGGTGTGAGGAGATGGACCAGGCCAGATCCCTACCCTTCCCTCTCTTTCAGTGGGTCGTGTTCCATTCCAAGTATCACTGCATTTCAACAGGTCTGGCTGGCAGCAGGATAACGGGATCCCTGCAGAGACTGAATAACTTCCCCTCACTTAGGGGCGCAAGGTGACTCACCATCCTTGTGAGACATCCTGTTGCAAATCCCAGTGGATGACACCTTTCCCAGGCATGACGGGACTCGGTGTATTCAGCAATACAGCATGTTGATCTACGGTTAGTGTTTGGACAATGGCTGTATCCTAGGACCTCCATACCTGAACAAAGTTGGATGTCTTGCCAGGGGTCCCCAGTCTTGCATAAGGTGCAACAGGCCCTACAGGTTATTCAAATGTATTAAAGCTTCTGACAGTTCTTGAATACATCCAGCAAAGGTGGTTTTACTTGTTAGTAATTTAATCCTTTGCTTTAATATTCCATTGTTCCTTTCTACAAATCTTATAGGGAGATGGAACCTCCATTCAATGTAATGTTCTCTGCCCAGTTTTGTGTATCATGACCTTAGAAATGTGACCCCTAAGCACTGTCTATTCATCAAGCATATTCATGTATGATACTCAGCTTCTCTGATCCCCTAACAGTGGCAGTCTGGTTTCCCTATGTGTGGCAACAGGGAAGAACTTACATTAAGCCAAATGCTGTGTCTACACAAATCAAGGCATATCTAGAGCCCTCACTGAGTAAGGAGGCAAGTTTAACTAATTTGCCAATCTCTCACTGTTAGGGAACTCAGGTAGATGGTCCCAGGCTCCTTTAGTTGTTGTCTGGACATTTTTCAGAACATATAGGACTTGCTGTTACTACATTAACTAAATCACTGTATTTCAAGGGCAAATCTAGCATCCTTGGCAATATGTCATTCCACCTATGATAGCCATTTTTCCTATGCACCCAATCTGCTATATCTATTAAAGGATCAGTCTCTGGGCTCATTCTTGGGCTAAGACATAAGACTCCCCAATGCCAGGGGTGTCATCACCTTACAAATCAGGACATGGAAAACAGTGAGGAATGCTTCAGGTTCCTGCAAGTGAACCCAAATGTCTTTGCACATATCCTGACCCTGACAAGGGCTTATTTATGAGCATCCACACCTTGGCTTCCCATTGTCCAAGCCACAGGGTTAATCCCTTCAGACCAGCCCAACCGTCAGTACACAGGGTGATCAGCCAGGGCTCATTTAAGTGATCATCAACCAAACTGCTCTGAATTCAACCCACTGGCCTCTGCAATTTGTTCCTGTTTCTATGCAGATGGTTTCAGTGTTGGGCTGAATATTGAGGACAGTACAAGTGGGCAGGTTGCCCCTCTGTATACCAGACATCAGAGGACTTTGCCCCATCTCCTGCCTATGGGCTGCAGGCTCCACTACAGGAATGTATGGGCGTTTGGAGGACCTACATACTCTACAGGGCCTTACAGCACCCACATTTCTAGAGACAGTGGGATGTACACTGAATATTACACAACTTTGATGAAAGAAATAGAAGATGAAAACAAATAGGATATCCTGTGATCATGGAATGAAAGAATTAATATTCTTTAATGTCTGTATTACCCAAAGCCATGTATAGATCAGTGAAATCTCTATCAAGATTCCAATGGCATTTTCACAGGAACAGAAAAAACAGTCCTAAAATTGCTATGGAACCATGAAGACCCCAATAGCCAAAGCAATACTAAGAAAGAAGAACAAAGCTGAAGTGATAACATTTCCTGATTTCAAACTATGTTTACAAACTATAGCAATCAAAACAGTATGTAACTGGAATACAGGCACATAGACCAATGGAACAGAAGAGAGCCCAGAAATAAACCCACGCATGTAAACTAACATTTGACTAGGAAGCCAAGAATACTCAATGGGAAAAGGATAGTCTCTTTAATAAATGGTGCTGGGAAAACACTATAATCACATGTAGAATGAAATTGAGCTATTACTTTATGCCACTCACAAAATGTAACTCAAAATTTAGGACATGGAACTACAAAATTCCCTGAAGAAAACAGGGTAGAAGCTCCTTGACATTGAGACTGGCAATGTTTTCTGGAGATGAGGGCATTGCGATTAGCATGTATAGTTCGTGGTGGGCACGGGAAGGGCTGTGCAACACAGAGAAGACTAGTGATTTTACAGCATCTTACTACGCAGATGGACAGTGACTGTGAAGGGGTATGTGGGGGGCACTTGGTGAAGGGGGGAGCCTAGTAAACATGTTCTTCATGTAATTGTAGATTAATGATACCAAAAAAAATTTAATAAGAGATTAGCAACAATAACATAAGAAGTATAGTATTAAGTTTCGGGAAAGACCTTTCTCCCACAGATTACCTTGACTCATCTTTCTGTGATGACAGATGATAAAACACCTGCATGATGTGATGGACTAAGGTGAGTGATGGAGTTACTGTGAGATAACAGCAGGCTGACCATCTGAATTTGTCAAGAGGCTCAACTGCTTTCAGATCAGGTTGACTAACTGCAACTGCAGAAAGTGAAAGACTGTGGATAAGGGAGGACTACTGTATTTCCATACCCCTGCATGCAGGGAAAAACGAGAAAACACCCTGGACCTCTTTTCCTTTCCACCCAGTCTTCTCCTAATGGTCTCTCCCATTTGCAAAAGCCAACCAGGAGAAAGGGGTTCTGGTTAACATAGTGCACAGAAGTCAATTTCCTGGGGTACTGAGCAGGGCAAAGGGTGGAGTGGATTTAGAGGAGGAAAGCCATTTTAGCAGGCTTCCCGCTCATGAAAGAGCACAGGAAGGGTAACAGGAAAAGTAGGGTACTGTCAGAACTACCAAAGATCTGGGCTTCCAGTCTAAGCCAGTAGGAGAGTGGCCTAACACATGGGTACTCTATTGAAGGTGTTTCAATCGTAATGGGCAAATATAGGATATAAATACATAACACTATGCATCAACCATCAATGATACACATGCTTGTGTATTTAATGAATACAAGTACAAGTGATGGAGATTATCACCAGGGAGAGAGGAAGGGTGACAGGGTGGGAAGTCTTCAGTTGCTTCTGTGGGGAATAAGTCTGAATCAAGTATGACAAAACAGCATCATGTGTTAAGCCTAGGTGTTGGTTACACCATGACATTACTTCATGAAATCAGCAAAAGAAACACAAACTACCAGACCCCATCATCCCTGTCCCAGGACTGCTTGTTAAACATTTACCAATATACCACTCTAATCATGGAGTTCAGGCTCTGGATCTAGGCTGCATGGGTTAAATACCAAGTCCACTATTCAATGGATGTATGATCTTCAGAAAGTTGATAACATCTCAGTACTTTATTTTCCCCAACAGTAAAATGAAGATAATAAACCTACTTAAAAGGTTATGTTATGAGGATTGAATAGTTTGATACATGTGAAACACTTAAAAAGGAAGAGCTATTCTTAACATAAATACCCTAGACAAAGAAGTCCTGATACTAACTGGAGATGGGTCCAAATACCTTTGCTAATTCCAAATGCACACACACTATGATGGCGTATTTATTCTCCCCATAAATTAAAATTATCAATAGCTCTTTTCACATTCCTTTTGACTACTAGTAGACAGAATGTTCAGGCATATTTTTGATCAAAGATGTATATACACACATATGTATAAATTCATTTTTTCAAGTTCAGATGGCAATAGTGGTTGTTGAGTTACCCAAATCTAATTGGTTTCTGAGTTTCAGACACTAAGTAGTAAAGATAATGAAAAATTTAGTTGAAAGTTTATCCAAATCTATTTGATTCCTGAGTTTATATATGCATACATGAACAGGCATACACGCACACATACATAGATCCATTTTTAAAATCAATCCATCAGAGTTCCCATGCAGGAAACTCCTTATAAAAACCAATAAGGCTATACACTGGGCAGGCTGGCACAATGCAAAGAACAGTTTTGGACCCAGCCAAACATGAATATAAAGCAGTACTGTGGTCCAGCCCAGCACAGGACTCAAATTGCCAGTACCAAACATTGGGCTTTGGTGATAGAGGGGAACAGAGTAATCTCAGTAAGCAGTGGCTAGACCAACTATACTGCTCTGCACGAGACTGCCCCTTTCTCATATAAAGTCTCAAAATTTTCTCTCAAATGCCCCTTTTTTCTCAGGAAGCTACTTAATATAACCCACACAAATGAAAGAGTAAATCCAAGATAAGGAAGACATGAGATATATATATGGGAAAAAGAAAATCAGGGAATCCAACGCACGGGAGAGGCAAGCAATCCTCAGGACCCTGGTGAAAGGAGATTGCGAGATGACAGTTATGCACCAGCCACAGAAGGCAAAACACCCAGACTGGGCAGAACAGACTGCTTCTGCAGTGATTCCTTCAAGACGGATGAAACTGATAGAGATGTGATGTCACTGATAGAGATGTGATGTCTGAACATTTGGAGAAACTGTTCACACAACCAGTTGAGTTTTGGGTTGACTTAGCAGTAAGTACACAGAAACCTATGCAAAGGAAGTCAATTATTAACTCAAGTAAATAAAGGAGGTTAAGAATAACACCACTCAGTCATGCATTAACAATCTTTGTAATGCAATAATCTTAATCAAAGTCAGTAATGTAACACTGAATTTACAATATAATTATGCTGGAAAAGGGGGAGCAGGAAGGCAGTAATGGTTGGGAAACCTAATTGCTCTATTAGGAATTAATGTCTAAAATTTGAAAATCAAGTAAAAGCAATATAATCATACTACTTAGATATATAGTAATAAAAAATCAGCTAAAGGGTTGAAAGAGCTTGCTCTGAAATCAGGAAATGGGACAAGGAAGTCAAAGCAGTGGTATTTTTCATTTAGAAAATGTAGATATATTTGACTCTTTACACTATGTAAACCTTTTTTAAAGGTTTAACTTTAAAAAACAAAAACAAAATTAGCAGTGTCTGACTCAAAAGTTCAATAATGTTAATCATTTATTATTATTATGACAAGAAAGATGACAGTTTCTCATATCATTATTACATTCATGCTAGGGAAAACAATGTTTCCTCTATTATAAATGCTACCTGATCTTTTACAAACACGTTATTTACTATTCTTAGAATATTTGGGCATGCTTAATAAAGTAAAAAAATTTAAAACATTCCAGTATTTTTTACTAAGCAAAGTATCTACTGTTACAAATTTACACACAAATTTGTAGTTTTTGTGACAGAAACAATTTAGTTGTTTCACTTCTTCATATTAACAATAACAAGAACTTTAAATCTCCGAGACATGCAACATGACCACGTAACAGGTTTTGTCATCAATATGATGGTCATGGTATCTTACATATTATGTTCCCACTGTAAATTAAGTCCTATTTACCAAAATAAAAAGAGGCAAAGACAATTAACAGGCAGTTCATAAAAAAGGAATATAAATAGCCAATAACAACGATAATATCAACCTCATTGCAATGAAAAAAACACAAATTAAAAAAACAAAACTGTTTTTCATTTGTATTGGCAAAGATTAAATTTGTAAAGAAGGGATAATCTACAGTTGACCAGGCTGTATGCAAGTGAAGGGTAAAGAGGTGGTCACATATAGAACACTAACTGGAAGTGTAAATTATACAGACTTTTTGGAGAGCAATTTGGCAGTACTTACCAAGCTCTAAAAATGTTTAAGCCCTTTGAACCAGTCATTCCACTTCTAGAAACCTAAGCATAATTAAGCACTTACCTAAAAAATGTGGTCACAAGGACATTCAATGCACCACTGCTTATAGTAAAAATTGCAGGCAATCAAAAATGTCTAGCACAGAGGAAAAAGTGAGTAAACGGTGGCACACTGTCTTTCCGGCAGGGAGTGGGCTTCCCCTGAACACCGTGTCCCCAGGCCCGCCTTCCCGTCCTCCTTACCCAGAGTCTACCTCCCACAGGATAAGGTCACAGATGAGCTCACTCAGGGACATCGTCTGTCTCAGTGGACACCGAAAAGGAAGCTTCTGGGGGCTTTTGGGAGAAGTCTTTTTCAATGATAAAATGGCGAAGAGAGGAGACATGGACTTTCCTGCCTTTTTGACACAATTTTAATAAGTGTGAAGTTGGAAGTTACAATAACATCTCTTAAGACCATGAGGGACACAAGCCTAAAGCAAAACCAATAAACTGAGGCCAAGGCAAAAAAAAAGTGTCCTTAATGACACCTTTGTATGGTAAGTAAATAAATGTCCTTGGTTATTTAAATGTATGTTTGGACATTGTTACCTCTGGTTAAAAGCATCCTAACTGATATCAGCCATACAATAGAATACATTAGCATCACTAAAAGTTATGCCACTGAAGTATATTTAAGAACACTAGATGTGGAATTAAGAGAACAAAACAGTATATTACTATGGATTCATTTGCTAGAAAAAGGTCTGGAAAGATATTTTGGGTTTTAGGAATAATCTCTGAAAGATAGGAATTTAAATATCTCTTTATGCAATTTTTTTTTTCCTGCAATGAGCATGTTGTCACTTATTTTTCAGGGAATTCCTTCTGTCGATCCAATGTGATTTTTGGGGAGAAAGAGGTAACTATGTATTCTAGTGAGCTATCTGGAACTAGGAGTCTGCTTTTTTAATAGGGAAGTTGTTTTTAAAAACTGATTTTTGAAATAAAAGTTGATACTATCAGCATTTATTTTTTAATGAATACATTTCCCTTTATTACTTAAGGAACCATATCATCATGACTTTGTACCATTTCGAATTGGAATTTCCTCTGTGAAGCAAAAACAGTCCCAAAATGAAGGATCTTCAGGGGTCATAGGAACAGCAGAGGATATTAAATCATTGAAGGTGAGAATAGTAAACTGCCTCTGGGTTGGTTTAGAATCATCTTGAGATGAAACCTAAAATGGAAATTGGTTGTTACACTCATTGTTAATACTGCATGTTAATGAGATAACACCAAATTACATTTCAGTAGTATTAAATCACAACACAGTAGGATTTCTAGATAATTCTTTACTTCTTATGTTAGTGTTGACTATGAAAAACAAAAACAACCTTTCTAATTTCTTGTACATACAGTAATTATGGCATGGCTTTACTATACCACATCTAAAAATTCTGAATCAGCAGATCAGTTAAAATGGGGTCCCAAAATATTAACTTTTAGCAAGCATGTGGGCTATTCTAATAGAGGTGGTACCACTATGCAAACTTTTGAGTAATACTCTAGAGGCTGGAGTTGAAAAAATTTGCCATAACCTCAGAGATGAAACACTTCTTGAGGAAATGATTCACTCAACTTCAAATGTAAACTTTACCTTACACTTTAAAATAGAGCCTTTGTTCACAACTCAATGCATTATAGACTTAAACATTCTATACATTCTAGTCATAATATTTAGGTTTTTATATAGTGCTTTAACAAGGTCAAGCACATATTTTATGATTTATGTCTCGCAATTATGCTGATGTTTGTTATCTCAATTTTATAGCTGGGGAAACTAAGGCTAAGGAAACACCAACCAATGTGCATGAGTTTACAGCACAGGTTAAACAGCAGGCCTGGGCCTGGAACCCAGGTCTTCTGAACAGTACTCTTGTTCTTTTTCCACTATGTCAGTGCTGCCTTATATAAACAGGCTCTCTCCAGTGAAATAAAAAGGAAGTACTTCATGTGTAAATGTTGCAAAAAATATACAGGTCTATGGAAACAAGGTATTTTAGAGCACCTGAGAGTTAAGCAGACAAAGACAGGCAACCTGGGTCAGAACATCTTTAAATAGCAGGGGTTAATATCAACATGCCATCTGTTTTAAGGATAATCTAAGATTTTTAATCCTTTGTTAATCTATGAAAGGCATGATCTGCACACTGAGCTATTTATCTAGAGGTAACGATGCATATATAATAACTATGCTATGTTCTTTCATATGGATTCCCTGAAAAATAATGATATATATATAGTTTTGACTATAACATTGTTATAATTATATATTATGTAAGTATTTCATAAATATTTCAGCAGAATGATAACCATATGTAGGCTAAGAGTCCTTATCCTTAAATTTTTTTTTTTAATTTCTTCATCACTTACCAATAATACAAGAAAGTAAAAACATTGTGATTGAAGTATTGAGACCAGTGATATGCTTCAATATGACGTAAGGTCTCTCACGTTTGACACTGAAACTTTAGGAATAATTTAGATTACTACAAAAGGGGAAAGGGGTTTAATTTGCCAGATAATTCCATTACTCGCCACCCTTCAACATGATACCTTATATTCAACACAGCCCCAATTCCCTGGGATATAAACTACTGTTAGGAAAACTATCATAGTATTATCCTGAATTTCAATTGAAAATATAAGTAAGACAGCACTACCAAAATTTTTTCTTTGTAATATTTAAGTGTATTTGAATGTGAGGAAACAAGTAACATACTTTAAAAAAAATTTCTATGAAATTCCAGATGATCTTAAGGATTTGATAATGAAAACTTGTAAATTTATAATCTTAAAAAAAAAAACTCTAACAGGATATAAACCAAATAATTGTTTCCATTAATAAAGAATAAACTCAATATTGATTCATGCTTTTTATAAAAAAATCAGAGAAATCTTAAAATCTTACACCCTGATGTCTAGATCCATCGGGTTTCCTAAGAGCTACTGCAACAAAATGGTGCTCATCTATTTTACTTTCCTGAAAAATAAAAATAGTGCAAATTTAGACATACTTTTATTTATATTTTTAAAACACACACACACACACACATACATTCCCCTACTTCCTTTGAACCATTCAAGTCACATACATTTTTGGCCCTTTACTCTTAAATATTAAAATTTTTACTGAAAAGGAACTTTACTAAGGCATTTTTCCGTAAGACATCAGTTGAATTAGGCAATTACAATCAGAAATAGTATTACTCAAGGACTTTTCATCCTTTACCCTCTTCTTTCCATCTTCACACCCAAATTAGGAAAAAACAACATTCAACATGTATAAAGTTTAAGAAAATATGCTTAAAGAAGGAAAAATTATAGCTAGCTAAGTAAAGCTAAGGTCAAAGTTATTTTCCCTTTAACTAAAAACAAGCTCACAATATTTGTTACATGGTCTTCCCCTTATTCCTTATACTGAATATATTAATAATATGAACATTATAACACACAGAGATGTTCTGGCTATAATTAGTTTTGGAAAACCACTTAGCTCATCAGTATTGTAGTGTCTGAATGTAAGGCCAGAATCAGAGGTAACTGGGAAATGAGTTTTCATTTAGTCTGTCCGTTAAAATGCCAAGATGCCCTGCTCTATTTATCCACTCAAAATAAAAAGCTTCATCATACCTACTCAGACGTTATTAGCGGCATGTAAATATGAAAATTGACACAGGAAAACTGAAGCTATTTTACAATGACTCAGTTATCAAAACATTAATATTCAATGTCCCCCCAAAAAGGAAGTTCCATGAGGTGAGGAACTTTGCCCTAAATCCTTTCTCCCTCGGACAATACATATAATAAGCATCAGTTGGAAAAAGAAGTAAAACCAGCAATCAAGCCAGCTAGCTAAGCTAGTTCACACAATGCTGGTGAACTTGAGATTTAATTTTCAAAACCTTCTAAATTTGCAAGATTCTAAGTTTAAAATTTTTTACCCATAAAATTGTGAACAGCATAATTTTCCCATAATCTTCAAGAAACCCAAAGGCAGCAAGAGTATTTTTTTACAGGAAATAGTTTAGCATTAGATTGCAAAGATTACTCTGCTTCAGTGAAACTAACAAGTCATTTTCTTATGAAGAAAAAAAGGTTTAAGCTTTAACTTAAAACATTCAAATTCTACAATTTTCCCCCCAATAAAAAAAGTATGAAAAAATATGTCATACATGTTAACATTTCTATTTTTTAAACATTTTCCTTTCAATGCAAAGCAAAGAATTTCTTTTATTTAATCTCATTATTGCAAGTCTTTTGGTCATAACTTTTGTAACAGAACCTAGTTATAAAAATTGAAAGCCTGTGACAATATGATTCCTCTTGGTATAAGAGTTCATATATTTTTCTATAGCATTATTTTTCCAGGTATAAGATACAATATTCAGGCAAGTGGAAAATCCTTTAGATTTGTTGCAATAAATAATGGGTTCTCGATTATGCTCAAGCTAGAATTTTCAGCTCTGAAACACATAGAATAATAAAGGTAATGCTCCTGCCCTCATGGAGCACTGGAGAAGTGAAACAAGTAGATAAATATGGAGATTATGAGGCAAAATGTGGCATGCCATAAGAAAGAAAAATGCATAGTCTTACAAGCAAGAAGGAGAGGGCACCTAAGTTGGGCTTAAATTATTAAAGAAGGCAGGAAGGAGACTGGAGTGGGGCAGGTCATGGAAGAATAAGAACAATAAATGTAAATAGAAGAGGGTTTTGGATATTCAATAGCAGATAGTAGGTTGTAATTTGGCTGCAAAGTGCAGTACATAGGGGGAAATGATGAAGCCTGAAGCAAAATACGGAATAGGAACCCAGTTGGGAGACTACTACACTAGTCCAACTCAGATGCAAAGGGGGCCCAAACTAGGTGGGTGGCAGGAGCCAGAAGAGTTCTCAGAGGGGAGGATGTCACTGTGAACTGGACTGACTGGCATGACAAAGGAGGAAGAACCAAAAACAGGTCTTTCTATCTGGGATGACTAGATGATGGTACAATCAAAAAAGCCAACTCAGAAAGCAAAAGTAACTTGAAGGGCAATTATGATTCTGACTTATTTGCAGATTTGAGGTGCATAGCCTTCTTCACAGTCTTCAGCAAGAAATAGAGGAATGTGAAGCTGGAGTGCTTGAGGCTGCTGGTCATGAGTGGATTCGTGAGAGGAAAGGGGCAGATGCTTGGGAAAATGCCTTACATTTTAGAAAGTGGCGATGAAGTGCACTTTTTAAATATAAGAGCTTCTGGGCTTAGTCTTTGTCCCCTTTTCCACACGCTGCACAGACTCCCTTCTACTAAGAGGTTTCTTTTAATGACAAACCTATTCCCACCTTAAGGCTCTCCACTTCCATTCCAGACATACATACTCTTCTTAAATGTTATTAAAGGTACCAAGCAGGTATTTTTAAAAATCTCCATCTTCTTTACGATTTTCAGTTAATAACACAACACTTTTGCACCTTCAAGGTAAATGCTCCATTCTCCCCTGGGATACGGAATTTTACACCATGTCCTATGCGACACTGTCCTTCCTTTAGCTCTGCTTGAATGAGGCCACTGTCCTTAGCCTTCCACACCGTTTACATGGGTGCCACTAGAAAACTTCCAGATCCACACCTGGAGCCAGGATTGTTTTATACAGCCTTGACCCTGATTCTGGTGTCCTGCAGGTATTCTCCTCATGCTGCCTTCAGGAATGGGACTTTTCTTCAGCTTAGCTAGAGAGTCCTCACACTGTGAAGAGAATGCTGAGTTTGAAGTAGTTGACTACACACATTAGTTAATGAAAACTATAGTCTCCCACATGTATTTCTTACTAGGGGTGTGTTCTGTCTCCAACTCAGGGAACAATTTCTAGAACAGTCAGCCACCAAATACATATGGGGAAAAACCCTACACACAAGGCTGATGTTGTGTGGCTGTGACTCCAGACGTTTCAGGAAGTAGTATCTACACAGTAGGGAAAGGAGAGGGGAGTAGATTGCTGCTAAGTCGTTCTGAGCAGTTCTTTCTTTTGGAGTTAGGTGTAAAAAACCGGGGAGGGCTGAACCCTTGTACCTTGTTTTCAGTTTACTAAAGGAACCAGACTCCAGAGCACGGTAAGAGAAAGCAACTTCTCTCTCGCCATTTCCCTTTAAGTAAGAAGTTCTGACAACTCCTTTTTCTCTTTCCCTGGATGAAATCTTGAACACATCTCATACACAACATTTCTGGTCATTTTCAAGTATCAAATTTTCTCTGAATCATGATACTTTATCCTGTTTGATCCAAAGTAAATTTTATTCTCATCACCTGCAGAGCTTCTTCCACCTCTTACCCTTAGCTCGAACCTTATGCAGGGTAGGAAGCTTCCACCAGGGAAAAGGACTGATTTCACCTCTCTTCCTAACCCCAGATCCTCCCCATTCACTATGCTGCCTCGAGTTCTAGTATGGGTAAATTCAGTGAGCATCAGTGAGAATGGAAAGGGGTGAAGGAAAGGCAGTGAAGAGTTTTAAATCGCAGCCCTTCCTCATGCCTAAAGGTATTTTAAGAGGCCGTGACAGGACCCTTCTGTCTGCATTTGACTCGAGGTACACTTCCCTTGGCACTAGGCTCATCACTTCCCCTCAACCCGTGTTTCTGGCTGTCCACACCACAAGACTCTTTCTGTTACATTCATTCTCCCCTTCTAGACCTCTTTATTGTGTAATAAACAATCCACACTTAAATATATAAACCTAACATAGTTTTTTTCATTATCTTCCTTACTGGTACACGGAATGGGCAAACAGTAAAGAATTTATTTTTCCATAGCTGCCTTCAAATACTCTCTGACGGATCTCCCTTTCCCCCTCTTGGACAAGCCTTTAAGCAAACCTATTGCTCTTCAGTCACTTTCAGCTAAAAACAAACCCAGTTTAACCCTAAAACAAATGTACATTATCCCCCTAGGCTTCCTCCTACTCTTCCCTTTTTCCTGCACTCTGGAGTCTTTACGGTAGGTAGCAAAGCAGAAGGGGATTGAAAGAGAAGGGCAAAGTAATGACCAACACCACTGTGATCCAGTTTTTGAAAGCCTGGGTCATGTCAAGTATCCAAATACCGGCCACCTGATGGCGGGGGTCATCTGCGCCATCTTCAGAGAACCACTTGCAGTTTTTCAGCCCCGGACAGTTCCCTGGAGCTGGCAGTACGTTAAGAGCTGACTTCTTATAATTCCTGCCACTACTTTTCTTTTGGAGTTCGTTTAGGTAGGGTCCTGTCAAAAGATACTTTAAGCCCCATTCCACAGCATCTATTTGGTCCACAGGAACTCAGACAAAAGTAAAGCCCAGTTGGCCCAGTGGCTGACTCTTTCCTCCTCACCCAACCAGGATCGTAGCCTCGGACACACTTGCACAGACTGGCTTGAGGAGCATTCAGAGGGCCAGTTTTGCCATCCTAAGAAGTACTGTATGGATTTGTCTGCCATTTCTTTTTATGCCAAAGGGAGAATTCTACTTAACACCCTTTACATTTCCTTTTGAAAAACATTTTGTAATACATGAGACACTTCTTAAAAATACAATGTAAGTGGTTACCTGGGTAATGGTTATTGTCTTCCTAAAAGACCTTAAACACTTTGAACTAAACATGGAAAACCAGTAAGATTTCCCACCTAACGCTAATTCAGTTAACTTTTAAACAAAAATAACATAAGTTTTAGTTGTTAACCTGGAAAAATGTAAATAAATTACTTAAAAATATGAAATATATTTTACAAAAAAGAAATCTTCATTTCCTAACAAGTTACAAAGAATATCAAAAGTACTTATTGGAAGAAAAAATGTTATCTACCTAGAAGTAAATTTTTAAAACAAGTTAGATCAAATCTATCCTAAAATAAATTATATTCAATTTAATAACAAAACTGCAATTACTTCATGTAACAGAAATATATTCTTTAAAAAAATAAAATTAAAAGCTATATTCAGGAAAGCAGTATCAATATCAGCCAAAGTCAAAAAGTTGGTGTTAAGTCAAATTATAAAGTAATTTAGTCACATAAGGACTATATTGCACAGCATAGCATAGCATAGCGTGTGTGTGTGTGGCATAGGAAACATAGCTCATAATATAAATCTTTGTACAGTAGCAGATGGTAACTACATTGATCATGGTGAGCATTTAATAATATATTTAATTAATGAATCTACGTTGTTCATCTGAAACCAATATAATATTGTATACAAACTACATTTCAATTAAAAAAAGTTAGAAAAAAAGGTTGATGGTAAATTTTAACCCCCCAACTCAACAACATAGCTACCTTTTACCATTGCCTACTCCAACAAGCCTTTTTATGTATAAATTTGTCTTGATGATTTGTTTCACTAGTCATCAGTTAAACATTATGTCCATAATAACATATATAACATAAGCAGCCTTTTCCATTCCATGTTGATACAAATTATTAAGCATCACGAGTATGACTGCAGTAAAAGGCTAATCACAGCTTGCTTCAGTTTTCTCATTAGGTGACATCTGATTTTTTTCCAGTTATAAAACTTATTTTCTATTGAATCCAGGTGCGAAAAGTGAATGCTAAAAATGCATAGTAAGAACTTTTTATCTGGCTTCATTAAGAATAAGTTAACTTTTACTTTAGTTCACTCCACATGAGCGAAATGGCTGAGGCTTGCCCCTTTAAATATGAAACTATTTTTTAATAATTCTGGTTACAAATTTTAAAAACTGTACTTTCTTTTAAAGCAAAGTATCCTAAATATAATTTATGCTTTAACTGATAGGATCCCTACCGTATTCATTCTCTTAGCAGTGATACAGCATTCTTTCTCAAAATACTTTCTGCCCAATACTACTCTTATTTTACTTTGGTCCATTTGATCATTCTTTCTGTTTCCTCCACACGACCTTTAAATATTGATATTGCAGGACTCAGTCCTAGGCCTTTTCTTCTTTTAATTCAGGTAATCTTACAGCTGCAACTTTAAATACAATGGCTTCAACTAATAGCCACATGTTAATGATTTTTTTTCCACTGGCCCAGCCTTCCGTTCTATTCAGTGACCTGACACCTTCACTTAGGTGTTTCAAACTTAACATATCACTTGCTCTCTAGTATTCAGTATTCCAACAGATGGTCCTACAAATCAGAGAATTCCTCATAACATTTTCGACATCTCATTCCTTAACTTCCACAGATCATCACAAATAGTACTTGTTCTTAGAAGACCAATCTGACGTATCACTTCCAACTTAATACCTGTTAAATTCTCTTAAGAAAATTAGTGAATACCTTCTATTTTATGCACTCAACACTAACTCCTTATTCTGGGTACCAACCTTCTCTGCACTATTCAGGTGATCACAGCAGAACTACCACATTATACTACAACCTATCTGCTGGGCTCTGGATGCCTAATGTAAACTGGACCACTCAGAGTAGCTACCATCGCTACAATGATTAGCCAGTAGATAAGCACCTAACCCAAGCTAGGCCAGGCTCTTCTCCAGGACTCTTAAGGATTGGACTTCACCAATCTCCATGAGATTTTGAACTGCAAATTGTCACATGCAAAAGTAGTAGGCAGCCATGTTTCCTGCCACACAGAACAGAGAAGTTAAGAACACTTTTATATAGAATAAGAAACAAGGGTGGGAGAAAACTGAAGTCAGGTTGTAGAGATAGTAAGAGCTTTGAGTTTTTCAGTTCCCAATTCTAGCAAATTCTGCTGCCTGGTTATGAATTCCTCCAGCAGTCTGGCTCAAATGAATTTGTGTTGATTTTTCACTCACTAGCAACGAAGAATTGATAGTGACAGAAACCAAATATAGAAAAAGACCAAAGTCTTTAACTCAACCAATAATGCCCACGTGATCTTACTACCCTAACCTAGAATCCCTCTTAAATCCTTCAACATGGTAAAGTATCTTCCTTTGACTTTTTTTATACCTGCAAAGCTCTTTCTATTTCACAGCCTTTATTCCTGCTCATTTTACTTAACCTCACTCTATTACTTACCTTTCAAGTATCAGGTTAAATGTTATATGCTCTCATAGTGTACCTATTTTCACCTTCAACCACCAAGACTAGATTTTAGTTGTATCTAGTTTCAATGAGTGGCTTCCCCAAATCAATCGCACATTTATGCACAAAATAAGGAAATTCTCACAGTTTTTAGCAATTTTGATAAATTTCTTACCTCAAATGCCCATTCTTTTTCTTCTTCCCCATCCAGGAATAAACGTGTTTCTTTATAAACTTGGCCTATATCCAGGTTTAATGGGGATATATCAAATTCAAGACGCTGCAATTCAAATCCTAGTCCAACACCAATGGCTTTTATGAAGCTTTCTTTCAATGCCTAAGATACAGAGACATTTTCTCTTAAGGCGTTAAAGTAGGTAAAAATTTTCAGAAAATCTATAGAGCCAGCACACATGGATTTTTAACTCTATATTACCAAAGACTGTAAGCTACTTTTTAACCCTTTATAACAGCATGGGGACAAACCAGCTGAGTGATCTTAAGGCAAATGATTTAAGCTCCCTGCATCTCCCTTCTGTCAAGTATAACATAAGAATGACAGTGCCTTCCTCATAGAGCTACTGTGAGAATTAACTAACTTATGAGGGGCTTAAAGTAAACTCTTCTGGCAGACAGTAAGTACCATGTTTGTTAAATAAGGCCTCACATATATGAGTGCCCTTGAGACAGAAAACACTAAACATTATTTATAAATGGTGACCAATATGTCTTGTTTTACTTTTAAAAGTAAGTACCTTCTGAGCATTAAATATACATTCAATTTTGTTAAATGCTATTGTAATAATGTACGCATTATTCATGTATACAAAAATCATGAAGATCCCCAATAATAAGCAATTATTTACTGCACGAACTACTGAGTAAACAAAGCACTTCTGCTCCTATTTTTGCAAAGACAGTGGAATCATCATATATTTTAACTCTCAAAATTAGAAAGAAGTTATACCCAATTCCTATAAAACATATCCAGTTGAGTCCATTCGTCTTTAAAGCTTCTGATTGTTTCCCATTCTTTGTTGGTAAACTTTCTTTTCATAATATGAAAGAATTCTGGAATTGAACCACGACCTGTCAATTGAGGAAGTACAGAATTAAAAATAGCTGTTCTATTACCAAACCTGTCAAAGAGCACAAAACAAAAAACTACATGCCAACCTTACTTCTGAATACAGTCACAATAATCCTAAAGAAAATATCAACAAATCAAAGTTGGAAATTAAAGGAATAACACACAATGACAAGCAGGAGTTAGCTCATAAACAGGAGAGTTCAACAGAAATAGTGAAATTCTGTGAATTATCAAATAATTATTAAGGAGAAAAACCATATGGTTGTATCAATAGATGCCTCCCAAAAACCTGATAAAATTTAGCAGCCACACCTGTTATAAATTCTAAACTAGTAGGAAATGTTCTATATATGATAGAATATCAGAAATCCACAACAAACACTCTTCAAATAGAGCTAAACTCTTTTGGGGTTTAAAATTTTACTCTGCTATATAACAAGAAAAAAGGGCATAATTTTTTTATTATTATTTTTTTGAGAACTGGTAGAAAGCTGAGGACTGTTCTTTTATCCTAAATAATCAACTGTCATTGGAAAACTAACATACACTGATTGTCTTCACAATAACTGTTTTTCAACATATTTTCTAATTTGACTACTCCAAATAAAAATAGGTTTTAATTTCTATTCTTTTGGGATGCTGCTGTGAAATAAGTTCATTTTTAAAAAGTCTGAAATACATCCCTAGCTCTACTGTTACAGTCAACAAAATATTACACAGCATTCTAAAAATAAATGACAAATTAACTCAAAGCATCTGATTTCTCAGATTTAAGGTCTAAGACAAATTAAAAATGCATGGTATGCCTTTCATATTTTTCCAATATATTACAACTATGTGTTTGTCTATTTTTACTACTAGGTAGGAACTTTCTGTCATCATTCACTTATTTATTCTATAAATATGCAGAACATGTATAAATATTATACAAATATGTATTGAGCTAACAGTTAAAAACACATCAGTCTTGATTCCTGCCCTCACATACTTCTAGACTAATTGGCTTGTCAGACAGCCTAGCCCAAAGTAGGTAAACAAATGTTGACAATATAAATAAATGAATGCTAACTATCAACTGATAAGCTACTAACTAAATGCTCTGTTGCTCTACATCCTTAGTTCATTACATTATTTTCCAAAAAAAAAAAACCTCTTGTAGTCCCTTGGCAGATTCTGTTAACACAGCCTGCCTACTGTAACTCCATTTCCCATTTCTAAAATACTGACCTCCATGACTGCCCTTGCACTGTTTACCATGTAAGAACTTATTCACTATGTAAGAATTTGTTCACCATGTAAGAACTTGTTTGTTGTGCTTCAGAAGATTGGAGACTGTTGAGAATTAGGCTGGGGGTTGATTAATGATTGTACATTGAGTCCCCTATACAGAATTTTATTGTTGTTAACAACCATTTGATCAAGAAATATGAGAGATGCCCTCTCAAAAAAAAAAACTTGAATTTCAGATTAAAATAAAATAAAATAAAATAATAAAATGAAATGAAATGAAATAAAATAAAATAAAAATGAATAAAATACTGACCTCCAAAATCTGACACTCCCAAATGGTTGACTACAACTTAAAATGACAGTTGCTATTATACCCTCCCTCTACAGATACTTTTTATGCAGCAAAGTATGTTTTGGGGTAAAAAAAATGTCAAATCCCCCTAAGAACTCCTCTTCAGATCATTCACTCAAGTGCTAGATGCTGGGAATATCATGATGACCAAAACAGACACAGTCCTGACGTTCATGAGGAGTTGACAGTTTCTCCTATAGTAACCAACTGCCATTCACACAGTTACCTCAAGGGTTAAAAACATTAAAAGTCAGCTCTCTCTCAGAACTGTTTTATTCCCCCACCATCTCCACTTTGAAACAGTTAAAATAGTCACCTCTTGTTTAACCAGGAAATACTTCTGAAGATCTTACAATGAATGATGTATGTGTATGGGGTGCTTTAGACCAAGACAAAGCTCGCATTTATTTTCAAGTTCATCAGACTCAGTTAATTCATCATCAGACTCAGTTAATTCAACTATTTACTCCTTAGCCCTCTATTCTTCTCAAGAAGAATAACTTAATTTCAAACCATTCATTGAATTCAATTAATGTCTACTATTTGTATCTGTTCTTATTGATGAAGGCTATTATTTCCTAAATGTAGGCCAGCAAAGTTATAAAGTCACTTTCATGCAACAGTATTGAAATACTAAACTTTGTTTGTAGGAGTCCCAAGGCAAGGGATTACCCTTTTTGGGTCATGGACCCTTCTGACAGTCTGATGCTTGTTCTCCAACACCTTTCTTAAGCCCCTTAATAAAATGAAGCACTACTAGTACATAGAGGCTTGACAAATACTATAGTAAAGAGAGTTAAGAATAGTAAAGAGAGTTAAGAAAGCTAGCTTGCAAAAGTGAACAAAAGCGTATCTGGAGATTTAAAAAACTGGGAGCACTATACTTACGTTAAATCATAAACTGTTTACTCAAATAGATTGTGGCACACTGTGTATAACAATAACGGGAAGAATAGCTACCTTGGATTTGGAAGACAGCATTGTATATTTTGAGTATTATCTAAAAAGTTTTAATAGAATATTAACTAAAAAGCCTACAATTTAAAAAGTTGGGCGGAGCAAGGATGGCGGCATGAGTAGAGCAACAGAAATCTCCTCCCAAAACCACATGTATCTATGAAAATATAACAAAGACAACTCTTCCTAAAATAGAGACCAGAGGACACAGGACAACATCCAGACCACATCCACACCTGCGAGAACCCAGCGCCTCGCTAAGGGGGTAAGATACAAGCCCCGGCGCAGCGGGACCCTTGGCTCCTGGCGAGTGGAGAGGAGTCAGTAGGGAGGGAGAGAGAGCACAGGACTGCTGAACACCCAGCCCCAGGATTCCGGACCAGAGCACAGACACAGTGCATGTGTGGGGTCCTGGATACTAGGGAAACAAGGCGGCAGGACCGGTGAGCGGGGTGCCTGAGGCCGACGCTGGAGAACAAAGAAACGGGAGCAGTTTTTTTTTCTTTTTTCTTTTGGCGAGAGCTTTTTGGAAGCCTTAAAGGGACAGGGACCCCAATACTAGGGAAACAGAGCAGCAAGAACGGTGAGCGGGTGCTAAGACCGGCGCCTGAGGACAAAAAATTCGTGTGTTTTTTCCTTTTTTTCCCCCTCTTTCGTTGTTGCTGTTGTTGTTTTGGATTGGAGAGTGCTTTTTGGAAGTCTTAAAGGGGCAGCACAGGACACTTAGCCCAGAGGCAGGGAATCTGGGGATCTCTGGGCACTCTAACCCCCTGGGCAACATGGAGCACAGAGGCCCCTTACGGAGATAAATAGCCTCCCGGCCGCTCCCCCTCCAAAGGGGCTCCACCATTTTGGAGGAGCAGCCCCAGCCAGGCCACACCCACAGCAACAGCTCTGTCCGCGCACACCTGCCAAGCATAAGCCACTAGAGGTCGCTATTCTCCCAGGAGAGGAAGGCCACACACCAACAAGAAGGAAAGCTCTCCCAACTGTCACTCGTACCAGCTCTGCAAACTATCACCATGAAAAGGAAAAACTACAGGCAGACAAAGATCACAGAGACAACACCTGAGAAGGAGACAGACCTAACCAGTCCTCCGGAAAAAGAATTCAAACTAAAAATCATGAACATGCTGACAGAGATGCAGAGAAAAATGCAAGAGCAATGGGATGAGATGCAGAGAAAAATGCAAGAGGAATGGGATGAAGTCCGGAGGGAGATCACAGATGTCAGGAAGGAGATCACAGAAGTGAAACAATCCCTGGAAGGATGTATAGACAGAATGGATAAGATGCGAGAGGCCATTGAAGGAATAGAAGCCAGAGAACAGGAACGTATAGAAGCTGACATAGAGAGAGATAAAAGGATCTCCAGGAATGAAACAACACTAAGAGAACTATGTGACCAACCCAAAAGGAATAATATTCGTATTATAGGGATACCAGAAGAAGAACAAAGAGGAAAAGGGAAAGTCTCTTTGAAGAAATAATTGCTGAAAACATCCCCAAACTGGGGGAAGAAATAATCGAACAGACCACGAAAATACACAGAACCCCCAACAGAAAGGATCCAAGGAGGACAACACCAAGACACATAATAATTAAAACAGCAAGGATCAAGGACAAGGAAAGAGTTTTAAAGGCAGCTAGAGAGAAAAAGGTCACCTATAAAGGAAAACCCATCAGGCTAACATCAGACTTCTCGACAGAAACCCTACAGGCCAGAAGAGAATGGCATGATATACTTAATGCAATGAAACAGAAGGGCCTTGAACCAAGGATACTGTATCCAGCACGACTATCATTTAAATATGATGGTGGGATCAAACAATTCCCAGACAAGCAAAAGCTGAGGGAATTTGCTTCCCACAAACCACCTCTACAGGGCATCCTACAGGGACTGCTCTAGATGGGAGCACCCCTAAAAAGAGCACAGAACAAAACACACAACATATGAAGAATGGAGGAGGAGGAATAAGAAGGGAGAGAAGAAAAGACTCTCCAGACAGTGTATATAACAGCTCAATAAGCGAGCTAAGTTAGGCAGTAAGATACTAAAGAAGCTAACCTTGAACCTTTGGTAACCACGAATCTAAAGCCTGCAATGGCAATAAGTACATATCTTTCAATAGTCACCCTAAATGTAAATGGACTTAATGCACCAATCAAAAGACATAGAGTAATAGAATGGATAAAAAAGCAAGACCCATCTATATGCTGCTTACAAGAAACTCACCTTAAACCCAAAGATAAGCATAGACTAAAAGTCAAGGGATGGAAAAACATATTTCAGGCAAACAACAGTGAGAAGAAAGCAGGGGTTGCAGTACTAATATCAGACAAAATAGACTTCAAAACAAAGAAAGTAACAAGAGATAAAGAAGGCCACTACATAATGATAAAGGGCTTAGTCCAACAAGAGGATATAACCATTCTAAATATATATGCACCCAATACAGG